GTGGGAATGATGGCGAATGAAATGATGATGCGAAAGCTCTTAGTTCTGTGGGTAATATAATACTCTTCAGCTCTTACTTATAAAAGCTAGACAAGTTAACGCCCAAATAACCCAAGAACATTTTTTTTAAATATTTAAAACATATTTAATTAACGAAGAACGGATTAAATGAAAAGAACCGGCTTATAAAATTTATAAATAATAATGGCATAATGGCATTCCAAAGCCTTAATAATACTTGGAAATTATTAAAAAAAAGTTTAGAAAACATTTTAAATCTAAAAAAATAAATAAGTTCACAGAAACGTGCTTAAAAAATGTATAGATCATGTCTGATGCTACGTAATCTCTCTTAATAAACCCTGTGCTTATTTTCTGTAGCTAGAAATAAACGCAACAATTTCCAAGTGAGTTTATTTTAAGCCCCCCAAAGGATCTGAAAAATTGATTATTTCATTCGTTTTCCATTTTCTTTGCGCTATAGAAAGTTTAGAGTGAGAGCTTTTCCTTTCCTTTGCAATATTTTCGCGGAGACGATAATGATATTATATCACAATGCGAAACACACACCTGCGAAACGCACTTACCCAGCTGCCTTCCCACTTTTCCTTATCCCATTGCCATTGTGACAACTTGAAGGCGAATTTTCTCTTTGGCTGAGTTTTGACTTTAAAAACCGCAGACACTGAGAGGCACTGGGGAGAGTCACTGGAAGTTGGGTACAGAAGTGTCTCGACTTCGACATCAATTCTCCAAACGAAACATAAAACTTTTTCGCTATGAATAAGAGCAGTTGATGATGGTAAAGGGGGCAGGGGGAAGGTCGAGAACAGGAGCCTCTTAACCGACAACCGATATCAGCATAATATAACAACATAACTTTCTCAACTTTATGAGCAGAGCGCCGATTGCTGTTGTCATTTCACTTGGCTTCCGTCGTTAATGTGGCTGCTGCTTCTGTTTTCCCTGCTGCCTCTGTGGCTGGAAAAGTTAAACAAGTTTTGGTGAGCGGTTTTTCGAAAAATAAACGCAAAAAAACGAAAAGGGCCGTGTGAGACGCATCTTACGCGTCACAACTTTTATACTCGGTACTCAGTGGTTATTACATTTTACATTTTTTGTACACCTGTCATCTACATCTACAAAACTTCTCACGCCAACAAGCTCTTTTAGCTCGCCCCCTCCCCTTGAGACGCACACCTTACTATTCTGTCTTTAATAATATTCCCATCTAATCACAGTTCGAAGAACTGATGTATATGTTCATTCCTACGTAATGGCGTTTTTAGATTTATCTTATCTTCAAAATTGTGGATACAGCAGATTTTCACCTTTTGCGGGGGCGGAATGGGGCGGGTCTAATTTTTTAAATACACTGGTGTCAGTGTGAGCATACATCAGTCTGGAAGCAAAATTTGCCGGCTCTAACTTTTATAGTCCCTGAGAAAAAGGCGCTCAACAGACGGACAGACAGACATGGCTAAATCGACTCGGCTATTGATGCTGATCAAGCTGATCTGCAATTTTCAACTTATTCCTGACCGCCTTAGGGCTGTTTTCGGTCTCCCTAACTGGTGCATTTAATATATCGTATCATGTTGCTGATGGTAAGAATAAACTTGTCCATGAATTCAATGGGAAGTAAATAAAATTATGATATTTCCGTTTGGCAGGCACTCCTGCTCACCTCAACATAACTATTGCCCCATTCGTGCAGATAGGCTATAGATACTACCTTATTGAGCAGAATGTGTTGAAGAATTGGTTTCAGGCGCATTTGGAATGTCGAAAACTGGGTGCCGATCTAGTCAGTTTCGAGACCCGTAAAGAAATGGAAGCATATTTTCGCCCTTTTGCGGTGGCGGAAGGGGGCGTAGCTAATTTTTTAAATTCTCTTGTAAGAGTGTTTGCATACAGAAGTCTGGATGCAAAATATGGTGGCTCTAGCTTTTATGTTCTCTGAGTACTAGGCGCTCATAAGGACGGACAGACGGACCGACAGACAGACATGCTTGATCAAGAATGTATATACTTGATGGGGTCGGAAACGTTTCCTTCTGTCCGTTATTCGTGCAAATACAATATACCCTATTTACTCTTCGAGTACCGGGTATGAAAACACACACAGAACTTTTGTCTTTTTGATTTCGAAAACGAAATGTACCAAAAACTTGAAGTTGAGTTTTTCTTTTGACTGAAAAGTTGCTGTCGATTTGTTGTGGTTTTTCTCCCTCTGTTGTTGATGTTGTGGCTGGTCCGGGTTTGGTTTTCAAAACTAAATGAAAGCCCCAGCTAAAGCATCGATTTACAATCCTCAATAGAAGTCCGAGTCATCCCTCTAGGTTCATCATAAGCTGCTGCACTTTCAAGGCTTATAATTAATTATATTTGCATTCTCATTAGCCACCAATATTTTGTGGGGGTTCTGGCGACTGAAATAATAAACAATGATTTTTCATGTGCTGACAGTTTTGCTGAAATCCAATACACAGATGAGGCTCCAGCATGTGCGCTGTGTGCTCCATATGGCTCATTGCCTGATTTGATTGATCCAACTGGTGACACCTCTCCTGGGGCGTGCGTAATCGAGGTCGAGAGAGAGTCGGAGGCGACGCTGACTCCATGGGGTTTTTGCGCCCAGCTGTGTGTCGCGGCATTTGTCTAAAATGTCAAATATAAATATTTGCTTGATGCTTGTTTGAATTTGGTTTTGGGGTTTGCCAATAAACAGAGCGAGGGAGGAGCATTGCCAAGAGAAACGAGAAGAGTGTAGAAGCGAAGAGCAGTGTGCAGCGGATGTGGGTGTGTCACGTTTGCTTATTTGCATAGACAACAGAGCCTGACAATTGTCAGGCACTGTGTTTGCACTTTTGGCCTGCCTGAAAACGTTTGGGGGTTTCCATTAATTACATTGTCAATAGATGGGCATGGGGCAAAACCCTGTTTGTGCGCCTAATGAAGTGCAGACGGAGGCCTATGAGTCGGTGTGTGTGGGATTTCCTGATATTGATAGGGGTCTTAAAATTGTACTCAAGCAAACAATAACTTCTAATCAGGGTCAGGGATCCAGAGAGAGAGCTGTAGATTAAGTGTTATGTGTACTCCAAGCCCCGAAAGGGCTGCGTTACGTTTACCCTTCGGTTAATTGGTAAAACATTGATTTACCCATACAACGATAATGAATAAATAATAATACTTTTTGACAGCAAAGCCACAGCGCCAGAGAGTCACTTGTGCGTATACGTAATGCTGTCATAAATTCAATCCCCAGGAAACGGCATCGTTCCAACCGTTACAAATCCTGCCAAAAGCCACACAAACAATACAAAATACGAGTGCTATAAATAGAGAGAGAGAGAGGTATTGTGCAGCGTGGTGCACGGGGAGGGACATACATTAACGTATCAATGGCTTAGGGAAAAGTACAGTCGCACTCGTATAAATAACTCTCAGCTCTCCCTCTTTCTGTTTCTCTTCTCTATCTCTCTTTTTCTATGTCTTTTTGGGCTCGTGTCCATTGGCCGGAGCTCAAAGTATTTCTGCTGTGCCAGTTGCAGTGTATGTCAAACAGTATTTAATGAAAAATATGTTTTGATTACATAACCTGGAACCAGCGCAGGCTTTTTACTGGTAAAATGTACCGAAAATTAGATAAATATTAAAAAAATAAATAAATATTGTAAGTAAAATATAAACTGACGATTTACCATGACCTAATCCTCTTTTTTCCACCACTTTCCACGCAGTCAAAGCTTTTTCAAACTGCTTTCAATCGCCAGAGCTGCCCCTCAGCTTAATGTACCTACAAATTGAGTTCAAATTTTAGCGTTAAACTATTAAGCTCAGCTAAAGGGCACTGGAGAATCTGTTTAAACTGTGTTGCAATTGGCAAAAACATATTTATGCAGCGGCAGCCACAGCCACTCGTGCAGTGAAGTAAAGCCACAGCGTGACCAAAATGTTGCGCTCAGCTCATGAGCCCTGAAAGGCATCGCAGCTCCGCTCCGATCAACCCAGAGCCTTATCTAGTACCACGAACCTGACCCCAGAACGGGGTTCGAACTGAACATAACAACGCAACGCAGTGTAAATGTCGTCCAACGGCGAAAAGGACAAACAAATTGCGTATACGCAACGCTGACTGGGACTGACTGAGTCAGGGGCACCCAAACTGAATTTCCAAGGGGCATTAAAAATCTGTTTCGGGTGCCAAAATGTGGAAAACATAATGGCGAATCAATATAGCGCCAGTGCGAGAGTGGGTGGGCATGGGCTACAGTAGGGGGGTGGCAGGGATGCTGTGTGGCATGCCCAGACCAACACAGACGCGCTCCCACACTCGTCTGTGTGTATGCATGTATGGGGTCTTGTGCCGAGTGTTTGTGGTTAAATGCCTGTGGATACGCCGCTGTCGCCATGACCAATCCACTCTCGGTCTCTCTCTCTCTCTTGCTCTCTCCCCCACCACACACCTCAACAAATTGATGGCCTTTTGAATGGCATTTCAAGTGCAGAAAATAGTGCAAAGATTAAATCCCCTCATAAAAAGCACACCACAAAATCACAGAATAAACTATTGATGCTGCCCTCAGCGTGGATATGGATGTGTTATTTTAGCTCTCGTTGATTGTAGGGAAAGTGTATTAGAGGTGTCATTGTGCAGGAAGCAACCCTCCGTGTCCTGCACAGGTAAGCAGTGGTCCCTGCTGCCTGTAGCTGAGCTACGGTTTTAATTGGTTTAATTAGCCAGTCCCCCGCAGCTGTGGCAGCTCCCTCAGCTCTATGTATGCATGTGCCACGGCACAGTCTTATCGTCGGACCGTCATGGTCTTGGGGAACTTTGGCTTACAGCTCTGGAGAGATTTCTGCTCGCTGATTAGCCGTTAAATTGGACATTACTGAAATTTCGCTATGATCTGCAGTTGCTGTTAAAAACTCACGACATGCAGGTCGCACTTGTTGTGACTTTTTTGGCCTTGGCATCCATTGTGAGCAGCAGAATGATGCAGAATGATTCAGCCAAGTGCCAGAGTGATCCAACGTTGACGGGAACGTGTACAAACTATACCAAAAAGTGGTTCTACTCCCGCAGCTACAGGGAGTGCATCATGTTCCATTACGGAGGCTGTGGTCAAACGAAGAATTTATTCGACTCTGAAGAGCACTGCGAATCCTTATGCCTGGGCTTGGGTGACTACAAAGTGTGACAAATGGCAGTAGACTGAGAGTATTACTTATCAAAAATAACAGAAACAACAAAAATGAAATCATTTTCCTGGCATTCACTTTTGCTGGTGCTCCTCCTCTTCTTTCTATTTGCGACTGCCTGGGCCTACAATGCAAGTAAGTCGGCCAAGCAAGGTTCCGATTGGAATGAGCTACTGAAGCTACTGTCATATGATACCATCGTGTTGCTCCCTTAGAGAAGTGCGATGATGTGCCGACAGAGACGGGGCCCTGCCAGGGGGAATTCGAGATGTGGCGCTTTGACAATGTTAATCGGCAGTGCGAGTCCTTCATCTATGGAGGCTGCCAGGCCACAAATAACTTTTTTGAGACTGGCATGCACTGCGTGCTGAACTGCCTCAAACATCACGAGTTTTAGAATTTAAATATAATTATTTATTGGACCAGATGATGGTTGAAAGTTTCCTTCTGCGATTTGCAATTTAACAACAAAGTTGTGAGGGGAAAGAGATGGGCTGGTAGGGAAAACTTTGACCGTGGAAACTATGATTTGTCTGCAAAGTTTAAATAGATTTTGCTGCACTCTATTTCTGTGGGCTCTCGATTTATGTTGCTGAAAATGGAGTTGTTATATATCGAGCAAAATGCTACCCGAATGTGTTATTCATGCGTGAGGTGTGATTATTATTGATTGGGAAATTTTTGTGTCCACTCCTGGCACTAATTTCCATTTTATGCAGTTTATGCAGCGAGGCAGTAGCGCACTCACACACACGGCGTAATTTTAATCAGTGACAGACCAGCTCGTACGGGTGTCCAGCTCATGTGTGACCATATCGATGCGGATCGAATGACATTGCACACGCCTCTCCTCCCAATTCAATCAGCCAAAAAGTGGGTAGCGGAAATAGCAACAGTAGCGTTAGCAATACCTCCTCTGGCTGGCTGGCTGATTACTTAATATGCAGGTCCAAACACAATTTAAACCTCTGCAAAACGCACACAACACTAGCAGCAGTGAAATCAACAAGATAACCCTACAAAAAAGCAGAAGAGCGGTTGATTCTTCTGCACCTACACCCTTTATTTGTAGGACAGCAGCTGAGGGTGCAACTGTCTCTACCACTGTCTGGTGTTACACACCTCCCAGCTGAATCGTTATACCCCTCTGCGTGATTGTCTGCGAATAACAAGGTGTTATTGTATGCTGCTTCTGTTCTGTGTGTTCGTTGTCCGTTATTAGATTTCTCGACAAGAGACAAAGTTCACTTGTCGGCTACATCAGATGTGTTGGCAGGCCTGTCTGTCGCCGTTGCAGCCACAGTTTTTCCCTCGTCTCTCTGTGTGCGTGTGACGCGTGTAACGTGGGGGGGGGGGGGGGGGGGTATTAAATTAATTAGCAATTTGCACGACGGCAAAGCCGGTAAAAAGTGAAAACAGCAACAATTGACTGGCGTGTGGGGCAAATCACGAGAGAAACAGCCACAGAGGCAGAAACAGGAGAAAGACCGATTTTTAGATGCAAATCTGCTGCTAAACAGGTGACTGGATAAAGGATACTTAGAAGAGTAAGCGCAGAATGCAGCGGAGGAATGTAAGTTATTATGAAAAAGTTAGCTCTTTGTTTGCATAAATGATTTCTTTAGCAAAACCCCTAAGACTTATCCTCCTTTTAGGCACAATCAAACACTTTCGACTTAGACTAGAATTATTTAATTCTCCCGCCTAAAATGTTTATCAATTCCATTGTCTAATATCATCAGGGTAATCCAAGAGTCCCAGATTATTTCCTCCGTGCATCACTAGCGCTTAAAAGCCGTGTGTGTGCTGCCACTGTGTGTGTCCTTCAACAGTGTCCTGTAGTGTTTGTCCATATCCATTTGGATGCCATACGGTACCGGATACATGATGGGTTTGCGCTCCTCACGCCACTGGGGTGGCAACATCAAAGGTCCAAAGGATTTATCCAACTTGATGCCGCACCTGCCCTGATACTGACGGAAGCGTTCCGGTTTGGGCATTTTGCCATGCGGATCACGATAGTAGTCGCGATATCTCTGGCAATCCAAATAGTATTGATCGATGCGAGCGATATCCCCATAGTCCACCATATTGAGTCCTGGCAGCACATAGCCCACAATGGCTCCACGCTGCACGCGACTGTTCTTCGACACAGCCAACATGTCCACCTCAGGGATAATCATTTTGTTTGTTTGTGTTTATTAATTGGAACAAAAATTATATGTTTTTGTTTTTGTTTTTGTTTTTTATTTCTTATGCGTATCGAAATTTTTGACTGTGTGCCCTACGAGTTTGGGAAGTAGAATGAGATTTAAGAAAGGAATTTCAATGATGGCTATCAAGAACCTTTAATTCAAGACCTACTTTGGCTCTGAGGCTGAATAATCTAAACATAAAATAACTTCAAAAAATAAAGGCTTTCATAATTATTATTAATAATTTTTGGTTTTTTTTCTATGGCAGAACTTTTTTTAAAGAAATTTTAAAGTCTGGTATTTTTTTGTTGCGGTTTTTTTTAGAGGTGCGCCTCTTTTAATTTTACATAACTTAATTATCTTACATCTGGTTGAAATAAACCTAAACTATAAAGCTGCTGAATGCATCTATAAAGTGTACCCAAGCAAGCACTTTGTGGTTTTAGCTTACCGTTTGAAAAATATTAAACGTTGAAATGCAAATGCTGGATCACTGTTAGCTTTATTTTTGAGCAAACAAAAAAATCATCAAGTAATCATTTTTATTTTCTTTTGCTCAAAAATAATCATTAAGAATAATTGTTATTGCCGATAATTATCCGAAAACCTTCAAATTTAATTATCAAATAATTAAGTAAACAGTAAATGGATTTGGAAATATATTAATATACTAGAATTCTTTTTATATTGCTTTCAAAATTTTTTTTGTATAATCAATTCAATGTTCAACAAGTGTAACCATTAATCGTAATAATAATTAGCTAGTTCCAGTGGTCTATCGTTTAAATCCCGTATGGCTGATAGGATTATAGGTGCCCATCAACAAGGTTCTATAGCTCTTCCTCGAGTCCATGGGGTGACCGTATTCAGCCGGATAAACAACGGGCCTACGCTCGACTTGCCAGCTGGGTGGCAGCAACAGATCCCCAAAGGATTTATCCACCTTGACACCGCACTTGCCCTGATACTGACGGAATCGCTCCGGCTTGGGTATCTTGCCATACGGATCGCGATAGTAGTCACGATGCTTTTGGCAATCTAAATAGTACTGATCAATGCGATTAACATCGCCATAGTCCACAATCTTTAGACCAGGAATCACATAGCCAAGGATCAAATTACGCTGCACGCGACTGTTTTTGGACACAGCCAACATGTCCACTTGGGGAATATCCATGTTGAAAGTAAATAAATTATAGGTTGAGAGAATAAATATGGGTTTTAGAGTTTTTTGTGGATCAATGTTAGCTCTACGAGTTTGAGAGTTCGAATGAAAATTGAAGGATTAGTCAGTCAGTCTATGACTTGTATGAGAAATCAAGGCCTTCTATGGCTCAGCCATAAGTTAAACATATTTAAAGCTTATTTCGAATAATTTTATTGAATTTTCCACTCCGTTAAGTGCCATTCTCTAATTAAAAGACAAGAATTTGCTTACTGGCAGGCGGCTGGAGTACACAAAGTGCACACGAGCATGTCCTTGGCAGAAACTAAACAAAAAAAGCCATTGATCCATTAAGTGGAACCAAATGCCTGCACGCAATCAATCAGAGTCTTGTGTTGGCTTTTGTTTGCTTTCGCAGAGGCAGAAAGTCAAGGAAAAATCCTTGGCAGCAGAGGGGTTCACAAAGGGTCAAAGAAATGTGTGTCGCCTGGCTTCAATTAGCTTTTGGCTTTTGTTTCTCTCGATTGTCTGCCATAAATTGCAGTGACCAAGAGGAACTCCTTAGAAGCAATTAACATTACGTAAGCAACACAGAGTGGAACGTGGGGCGAGGCGGGAGGAGAAAATTATGCCCAGCAATCAATTGCAAAAGTCCTTACACACTTCGGGGGGAAATCCGATTCGATTGACAGAGTCAAGTGCTACGACTAGCAATCGTTCAACTGTTAATAATCAAATATCTACTACGATGTTGCTTCGTGGCCGTGGCCGTGCCAGATCTTCCCCAAGGGGACTTGGGACTCGGACTCGCTGACTCTCTTGACTGTCGCTTAATCAGCTGTCAATTTGCTTTATTGACGTCGTTGGTATTCGCGCGGAAAGCACAACACCAACAGCGAGATAGAGAGAAGCCCCTATTCACAGTTTCGCGCTTTCGTTTCCCTGCTGTTTCTGCTGCAATCTGGCAAATAGAAAATGGCAAACATTTAATTCTCTGGCAAATTCTGGCCAATTAGCCGGTTCAAAAGCGGATGGCGAGGGATAAAACTTGAAATGAGCAAAGAAAAAAAGCCAGCGAAAAGCAGGGATAATGGCTGTCATCAGCAGCTCTGGTGATTATGATGAACTTTAAGCATAAGAATGCCAACATATTTATCTTTGTTTCACCTCTCTTTAAGTTACCAAATTAGTACGAAGTCGGTTATCCAACTATTGGCTGGGTTTGTGCTCAAAATATTAATCTAATTATCGCACAGACTTGACAGTTGATTGATGGGCCCAGGCCACAAGACAAGTTCAAAGGCAAATGTGGGAATTTATGCGCAATAAGCCATTAAGTCGAGGTGATTGATTCCCACTGGCCACTGTGGCGTCCCTTAAGTTCAATCAAAACTGTTAGTGGCAGGCGCATCTTTATGATATGTTCAAACATAAATCATGCATGAATGTGTGGCAGCAGCAAAACGAGGCACAGATTCTAGCGCAACTCCTTGAAGAGCGAGCCACTAAGAGACGCCAGAAAATTGCTCAACAAATCAATCAAAAATACAACTGACAGCAACCGTGAAGCGAAAGTTTTGTAGCCACACAGGACAAAGCACACAGTACATGCAAATGAAATAGGAAACTAAGGTAAAGCTCTCTGACTGCTGAGCCTTGAACCTGTTGAAATACCCAAGACAATGATGGGCGCCCATCATGGGTTCGTCTCTATTATTTAGGCTCAAGTGCCCGTCGAGTCACTTCATCAAATTTTAAAGAAAAAGCAAACCCAGTAGGAGACCCCAAAATGAAATATTCATGGGGTAACCTTTGCTTTCTGTGAGTGTTTCTTAACCCCAAAATGTGAATAAGCAACAATTTGAATAGTTGAATAATTAACCAAGTAGTTACCAGGGGAAAGCCACTCCACTCCATTGCCTTCCATTATTGTTTTTACCTGCAATAATAATAAAATATCAAGCATACGCCATGCCATGCCACGTGTGTGTGCCCCATCATTTGAATTGTAATTGAATTTTATATTCACATTTGTTAATTTCCTAGAAGCAACTACATCTCGCCTCCGCCTTGGCAACTCAAACATAAACTCAAATTATTTCAACTTCCCATCGACTTCATTATGGGCACCTGCACACACACAGCATGGCTGGGTGTAGTCTGCAGTCTGTAGTATGCCTGCCACATGCCACATGCCTCATCTTCTACTGGTTCTGTGAATTTTCACTTTAATTGCCAGAGCTGCTCATCTGTTTACTTTTAGCTGGTGTGGCACGAACCTACTCAAGACTCAAGTGAAGGTAAGGTAAAACTCTCAACTGAAGGTAGGGAAAACTCTCAATGGTGTATTGCCCCTCCTTGCACCTTTTTCTGCCTCTCTTCGTGCCTCTCCCACTCTGCCGTTTATTTGCTCTGGGAGAACGACTGCGCATATTTTTGCCTGCAAATTAATTGGTGACATTTACAGCAACAAAAACGAAGAAAAAAAGTAAAGAAAAGAAAAGCAAAAGCAGAAGCGTATTAAACAAATAAGAAAAGAAAAACATTTGTTGAGTAGACGGGTTGAAACGTCCGCCCTGCCCCCTGAACGGCTCTGCCTTTCGGATCGCTTTTCTTTTTCTTATTAATTAGGAAAACTCTGTGTGAAATGTTATTTGTTTTGTTTGAGTTCAAGTTTGGTTAAGTGAGCATTTGTTCAACTGTATCGGTGGGTGGGAAAGAGGCAAAGTAGAAGCATTAATTGTAAGCAGATTGAGCAAGTAATTTCCCTCACTTGATGATTGGACTTTTGGGGGCCAACTTTTCTGTTGATTAAATGCTGTTTGTGCTTTGGGATTATGAAACTGCCAAAGTTACCCAAAAATGGCAGGAATTTCCTTGCTTAAGGCCGCCACAAAATTATGCCTAATACATTAAAAATATTAAAATTGAATAACCATCACGTCAGACCACATTCGTCGAGAGCTCCATTTTGCTCTGCCACGAATCCTATATTTGTATTTATTCACATGAGAATACATGAATCCCTGTAATGATATTTCTTGCATTTCTTGTAAAAAGCAATTTCAAACTGGCAAAAACTGAAATCAAAGCCACCAAAAAAATTGTGTATGGTTAGCGCTAGGGCTAGATAAATGCACAAAGTACAGTGCGATTTATAAATATATACCAGGAATACATTTCTAGAAATTTTCGAATAATTATTGTATACATTTTTCTGTCTGATAAATACAATAATTCAGTATAAAAAGACATTAATCGTTTACAAATCGATTAAAAATCATTATAACAATAATTTCTGCAGCTTTCTTTCAACATGCTTCTACTACACATTAAAATCTCAGCATTGCTTGCTATTGCTCCCGTAATAAAATCCATAAACAAACCTGACCTGTATGAAACGCACTGTACCGTAAATGCTATCCATACTGTAAAAGGCAAATGTCGATTTGTAAACATTTTATGAGCAAACTTTTCACATATCCCATTCCTAATAAAATACAAAAAAACGTTGAGCATAAAAAAATGGCAACTGCATAGCTGGAACGACTTCCTTCCCGGACATGCAGCCATAACGCTGTCGCCTGCTGGTTGCACAGTTCTCTGGAGTCTGGACACCCCCCTTCAGCCACGATGCTGCTGTCAAAATGCATTACACAAATTTTCCGTTTATGGCGGAGTGCAAAAGGTAAAAATTCAAGCGAAAACCGCACATAAAAACTATAATGGCGCTCGGTTAAGGCAAACTGTTTGTCCTACCTTCATCACATGGACACTCCTTGACGATTCTCGATTGTCCTGGTGGAATTTGGAAGGTAGAAGAAACATCTGTCAGCGGCATTCAGTCGTCAGCTCAGACATGCGGGCGACACTCGTGCCACATTTTGGCTACATTCTGTGTCACACACATGCCCGCATCGCATGCAGCTGCAAGAGTTGAGGGTTTAGACTTGAAGTTACCTAATTTTTAGGTGGTAAATAATTAAATATATATTTATGAAACTACAAAAAACTGAAAGGGCACTTTCAGAATTGTCTTCGTGGGCTCTCTACACTTTCTGCTGCCTGTTACATGCAGCTTTATGAACACAAACTACCTCTGAGATGCACAAGCAACGGGCAAAAATCGTATCGAGAACTAGCTGACAAACATGTTCCACTGATGCACATGGACAGGGAGCAGAGACAGGAAACAGAGACAGGGAGTAGCGAGCAGGGAGCACAGGGAACAGAGAGCACAGATGCTAGGAACAGAGAGCACAGAGACAGAGAGCAAGGAACAGCCATGGAACATGGACATGGACACGACTTCAGTTTGGTTACCCCTGCGCTCGTAGCTCGTAAATGGGTTGACATTTCAATCTCTGTCTGAATGTCTGGGCCACTGGCGCTGAGGTGCGATGAGTACAGTGGAGTGCAGTGGATTACAGTGGGGCACAGTGGAGTCCTCTGGAGTACAGTGAAATTGGGATGCCTTGGCTGCTGATGTAATGACTATACGGCAGTTGTGGGTGTGACTCTTGAATTTCCCTATCCCACTCCTCGTAAACGTATTTCGTGCATATTTCACAAAGTTCCTTCCGTTTGTAGCATTTTTGGCAGCCGTATTCTAAAGATAGAGAGCTCTAAACAACTTCCGCACGACTGAATGTGAGTCAATTACAAAATTGCATTTTCCCCCATAACGCCACAGGCAAGGCCAAGGGGTTAAGTCAACTGTCTCCCTCGCTCGTTGTCTGCCAACTCTTTTGTTGGTTTTTTTGTTTCTTTGTTAGTATTTTGTGTAGTTTTTTGGAGCTGCCTTCATTAGGCTAAATATGTGGTGCAGCTTTTACTTTGGGCTAAATTGCCCTCAAACTACTCACACAAAAATTGTTTTCGGGAGAAAATAGGAAACAGCTTGTTTCGTTTGAGAGTTGAGGGAAAAGTTTGTTGTGGAAAAGTGCATGTCGTGCCACTAAAAAGCTTAAAAATATACGAGAAAGGCTATGGGGTTAGGCTTTGAAGGAACATGTTGACTTAAGTGGAAGATTTGGAAACGAAAAGTGCCACAAGTTTAGCTTAGAAATATA